AGGACAGGGGTTAGGGCACGGCGCGCTGGGGTTTGTTCCGTACAAAAGAAAAAGGCGCGATTTTTCGCCGTGCTTTCATTCCGAGGAGGGAGGGGGGAGAGAGGAGGGGCTTACCGGCGGGGAGATCTCGGCCGCCGGGGATCTCGCCGGAGGCGGAGGCGGAGGCGGGGGCGGGGGTGGATGGCAGCTGGCTGGAATGGAATGGGGAATCGGGGGAGAATGGATGGGAACAGAGAGCCTATAGAGGAAGAGGAATGGCTGGAGGATTTGGGGAATTCTGGTTAGGGCAAGGGGCCACTGGTAAATAATGCCACCCTCTGCCTCTGGTTCATTTTGCAGTTTGGTCCCCTTATTTCTCCTTTATTTTCACAAAAGTGTGTTCAATCACACCAAAAACATGATGCCTCCCTATGCCCGCCTGATGGTGAAATTTCTTTCTTTTTCTTTCATATAAATGTTATTAAGAAAGAAACGTAGTAAATGAATTCTCCCAAAATGAAATACCCGTGTGCGCGGCGCAATATAATTATAGATAGACACTATGTACATGTATAGCATTTATGGATTCCAGCTGGGAACACATATGCAACGTAATTTGTCAGATACAGATGGACGGGCGGTGTGTATTGATTCCAGTAGTATCATATGCAACAATAATTTGTCTGATAAGGATGAACGGACGATGTGTATCGACTCCAGTCGTATCATACGCAACAATAATTTATCTGATATAGATGAACGGACGGTGTATATCGATTCCAGTAGTATCAGGTTTTTGTCAACCACACGTTGTATGCACCATTGCTGGCGTATGCGGCGGCGGTTTCCTGGCACTGTGTTTTACTGGTTCACTTTTCTTCATTCACCGTCCACTGTAAGAAAATGTTTGATATTTTTGTTGAGTAACTAAGGGAGAGGGGTAGCTTGTTACTGATTTTGCTGGAGTTTGTTCATCAGACTCTTTGACATTGGCTCACATCATTGCAATTTTCACCTCCTTGTGGTAATCTTCAACGGTCTTTGGTCCCTTGATTTAACACTTGGAGCTTCTTGAAGATGTCACGAGCATAGTGCTTGGTCACAAATCAAGCTCTCATGATTCATCCCAAGTAGCAATGGAGAACTTAGGCATTGTGAACTTAAGCTTCCCGAAGCATTCCTCATCGTCTTGAAGGTCGTGTGGTCGTTGTTGTTCATTGTTGGCGTCATCTTGGAGGCTGCGAGGTTGAAGTTGCTTGGCGTTGATGAGGTGGGTTTTTCTTCATACTCTTCACTCTTGGCGTTGATGAGCCTGCGAGGTTGAACAGACGGTGTATATCGATTCAAGCAGTATCAAGTTTTTGTCAGCTATACGATGTATGCACCATTGCAGGCGTATACAACGGCGGTTTCCTGGCAATGTGTTTTACCAGTTCACTTTTCTTCCTTCACCGTCCATTGTAAGAAAATGTTTGATTTTTTTTGTTGAGAAACTAACGGAGAGGGGTAGCTTTTTACTAATTTTGCTGGTGTTTGTTCATCGGACTCTTTGACATTAGCTCAGATCATTGCAATTTTCATCTCCTCTTGATTTAACACTTGGAGCTTCTTGAAGTTGTCACGAGCATAGTGCCTGGGCACAAATCTCGCTCTCATGATTCATCCCAAGTAGCAATGGGGCTTCTCCTTGCTTTTTGTCGAAATTTTTGTGTTTATTTCCACCATATGAGTGTGTAGTCGTCGAACTCAAGTGACAACATGGAAATGTTCTTCGGCTCATCAAAGTTGTACACTTGGAAGATGTTGTCCACCTTGAGGGCCCAAGATATGTAATCATTGGGGTAGATGACGTCGGAGAACTTAGGCATTGTGAACTTAAGCTTCCCGAAGCATTCCTCGTCATCTTGAAGATCATGTGGTCGTTGTTGTACATTGGTGGCGTCATCTTGGAGGTTGAGAGGTCGAAGTTGCACTTGGCGTTGATGAGGTGGGTTTGCTTCCTGGTCCATGTGAAATTTGTTAGCCATGCGTTGCATGTCATGATGTTGTTCTCCATGAGCTTCTTCCTCTTGTCGTGCTTCTCATGCTCGATGTGTTGTTCGTTCAATTGATGTGCGAGAGCACGGAGGTGTCATTACACTTGTGTTGCTTCGTCCGTGCTATGAGCTTCTTCTTGGCGATGTGCGTTGCACTCTTCATCTTCTAGGTGGCACTCTTCTTGTTGCTAACTTCGTTCTTCTTTTGGATGGAGTTTGATATGTCTCCAATGTATCTATAATTTATGAAGTATTCATGCCATGTTTATAATATTTTTACATGATTTTGGTATGATTTGATTAGAACTAACCTGGACTGATGCTGTTTTCAGCAGAACTACCGTGGTATTGTTTTTGCGCAGAAATAAAAATTCTCAGAATGCGCTGAAAATCAATGGAGAATATTTTTGAAAAATATAAAAAATACTGGAATGAAAAGCTACCGGAGGGGAGTCCTAAGGCCACCACGAGGGTGGAGGGCGCCCCCGCCCCCTAGGGCGCACCCCCTGCCTCATGGACTCCCTGTGTGGCCCCCTGACGTGAAACCAACGCCAACCCTCCTATAAATCCAGAAAACCCCAGAACCCCCTCCTATAAATCCAGAAAACCCCAGAACAGAAGAGAGATCGGAAGTTCCGCCACCTCAAGCCTCTGTAGCCACGAGAAATCAATCTAGGCCCTCTCCGGCACCCTGCCGGAGAGGGCCATCATCACCGGAGGCCATGGGGGAGGATCTCAGAGGGGCCATCATCGCCATGGAGGCCAAGGACCAGAGGAAGAACCTCTCCCCATCCAGGGGGGAGACCATGGAGGAGGAAGCATGCACAAGAGGGAGAACCTTTCCTCCTCTCTCTCTCGGTGGCGCCGGAGTGCCATCGGGAGGGGAATCATCGTCGCGGTGATCATCTTCATCAACATCACCATCATCATCACCGTCCTCATCTTTTTTACGCGGTCGACTCTCCTGCACCCCGCTATAATCACCTACTTGAACATGGTGCTTTATGCCACATATTATGATCCAATGATGTGTTGCCATCCTATGATGTTTTGAGTAGCTTTCCTTTGTCTTTGGGTTGATTGATGATCTAGATTGGTTTGAGTTGTATGTTTTATTTTGGTGTTGTCCTATGGTGCCTTCCATGCCGCGCAGACGTGAGGGATTCCCCGTTGTAGGATGTTGCAATACGTTCATGATTCGCTTATAGTGGGTTGCTTGAGTGACTGAAGCATAAGCCCGAGTAAGGGGGTTGTTGCGTATGGGATAAAGGGGACTTGATATGCTAATTCTATGGTTGGATTTTACCTTAATGATCTTTAGTAGTTGCAGATGCTTGCTAGAGTTCCAATCATAAGTGCATATGATCCAAGTAGAGAAAGCATGCTAGCTTATGCCTTTCCCTCATATGAAATTGCAATAATGATTATCGATCTTGTTAACAATTGCCTAGGACAATTCCGCACACCGATCCATCATTATTCCACACTCGCTATTTATAATACTTAAGCAATATATTCTAACTTTATGATAACAACACCTACTTTTATATTTTAGCTCTCCGAAATCATGCAAAGTTATCCTCTTCATACCCACAACATAGTTTTATTTCTCGTTTCTAGTTCGAAGCAAACGTTCGGTGTGCGTATAGTCGATTGTATCAGTGGCAGATAGGACTTGAGAGAATATTGATCTTACCTTTAGCTCCTTATGGGTTCGATACTCCATGCTTATCACTTCCACCTTTGGAAATTGCTACGATGATTCCCTGCACTTGGGATTATCAAGCTAGGAATTGGCCCATTTGTCGAATGCACCGAGGACAGGCCTAAAGTCACAACGGGCTAGAAGTTGGCACAACTGCAGAATGGGCCGATAAAAGGCCGAAAGACATTCCGAGTCGTTAACGGGTTGGAACTGATGATGGGCTACCAACAGGCCAAAAGAAGCTCGGGCCGTAATTGGGACCAAAGACGTAGCGGGCTGTTAACGAGCTGGAACTAATGATGAGCTGGAAATTGTCAAATCTAGAATGGGCCTTTGATGGGCCGATTCTGTGTAACTCGTATGGGTCGTGCTTGTGAATGGGCCTGACTCAAGTAGGCCGCTAATGGGTCGGCCCGCTTATTTTGACAGGCCCGGCCTTTTAACCTAAATGGGCCACTGTTGGGCCGAGCCACGTGTCAATGTATCTGATACGTCTCCAACGTATCTATAATTTTTGATTGTTCCATGCTATTATATTACCTATTTTGAATGTTTATGGGCTTTACTTTACACTTTTATATCATTTTTGGGACTAACCTACTAACCGGAGGCCCGGCCCGTATTGTTGTTTTTTGCCTATTTCAGTGTTTCGAAGAAAAGAATATCAAACGGAGTCCAAATGGAATGAAACCTTCGGGAGCGTGATTTTTGGAACGAACGTGATCCAGAGGACTTGGAGTGCAAGTCAAGAAGCTGCCGAGGTGGCCACGAGGGTGGAGGGCGCCCCCCTATCTCGTGGGCCCCTCGGGCATCCACTGATGTACTTCTTCCTCCTATATATACCCACGTACCCCAAAACCATCAAGGGCGACCACAAAAAAGCTATTTCCACCAGCGTAACCTTCTGTGGCTAGTATTAAGTGGTATGAACCATAGAGAAGTTATAATACAGTAGATATTACACCAATATGAATTTAGAATGAGTTCATTACAGTACCTAAGTGGTGGTTTTATTTTTTTATACTAACGGAGTTTACGAGTTTTGTTTTAAGTTTTGTGTTGT